TTGCTTCTCTGTATCTCTTTCAACTTCTGTATCTCTTTCAACTTTTCCATTTAATTTTTAAAAAACACATATGAAGCTCTTACAAAGGCATGATTTTCATCTTGGAATAAAAAGATAACTTTCCTGTTGTTGCAGGGTATAATCTAATAATATATTCCAGTATCATGTTTGTGTTTTAAATTTTGAGAACCAAACATATACAATGAAAATGAACTATATGTAGAAAACCACCTGAATATCTTTTATGGCTCTTAATTGTTCTCCCTTGTGATGATAACCCTATAAAAGTGGACAGAGGTAGGTAATGAATATCATGAGTTTTTTAAAAGAGTTAAACTGAGGTTCAGAAGCTAAAGGTAATTCACAAAGTTCAGAGAGCTAAAAACAGCAGAACTGGATCAGACTCAGAGTCCAATATCCTTCCTTCTCTCTCAGATACCAAAACAGAGAAATCAAGATTTTTTTGCAGCATAAGAGATAAAAAATAGTAATATGTACTTGTTTCAAGTTCATATTAATATAATTATCAAAGACTGAAAATACTACTGTAAAAAGACTTAACAGAAGCATATCTATAGCCTAATAGGTAAATTATACCTATATATTTTTAATCACATTATTGCTTAATATCAGTTTATAAATCAGTCAACCTGACGTCAGTCATTATTAAGGATACAAGTTTGTTAGAATACTTAGATGACTTCAATAGACATCTTAGTAGTTTTGTAAAGGTTAAAACATTAGTTTGAAAGGAAAGATTGAAAGTATAATTTCATTTGTGCTCTGCTTGCTAAAGATTTTCCTTCTGACCTTAGTGAGATATTTGAATAAACAGTTTAATAGCTACGAGATAACACAAAAAGGCACCTGAAATCAATCTGACTTCTTATAACTGTCTAATCTCTATATCAAAATCAAAACAAAGAGCTTTGAATATTGAATTAAAACCTGTCAGTTTTAATGAAGAACAAAAATACACAACCATCAAAATGGAAATCCTTTCAGTGATGCTTGTTTTTAAAATGAAACATTAGCTGGTCTCTCAATATTCAAGCTTTACAATGAACTACTACTAGTTCCCCCAATGGCTCCATGCTCTCTTGCCTTTCTTTTCACATACTGCACCCACTGACAGAAAATTCTTCCACCACATCCCTCCTTGGTTGACTCTTATTCATAATTTAAGTCTCAGATTAAAAATAATTTCTTCCAAAAGAACCCCAAATACAAATCAGCTATTTCCTTCAGGGTAGTCTTTACATACCCATACCATCATATTAGCACAACGTATTTTATTGCTTATTCAGTTGTCTACCTTTACAGGGAAGAGACTGTGTCTCTCCATGTAGTACAGCATAGGTATTTAGCAAATAGCAAATACTTTAATTGAATAACTTTTGGTTTAAGGCTGCCTCCACGTTAACCTTAAGGACGTCAAATAAAACTTTGACTAGAACCTTTTGGAAATGAGCCATCCTGTTTAGATAAGTGAATATACCAAATGGTCATCTACCTAAACATGTATTTAAACTAGGCACCTCACCTCCAGGGGGGCATCAAACTTTGTCATATCTATAAATTATTATTTATTTATTTATTTTTGAGACGGAGTTTTGCTCTTGTTACCCAGGCTGGAGTGCAATGGCGCAATCTCGGCTCACCGCAACCTCCGCCTCCTGGGTTCAGGCAATTCTCCTGCCTCAGCCTCCTGAGTAGCTGGAATTACAGGCACGTGCCACCATGCCCAGCTAATTTTTTGTATTTTTAGTAGAGACGGGGTTTCACCATGTTGACCAGGATGGTCTCGATCTCTTGACCTCGTGATCCACCCGCCTCGGCCTATAAATTATTTTTTTTTACTAGTCATTATTTTCATTTACAAATAAAATTTTCCAATTACATTTATCCTATTAAGAATTCAGTTTAACTTACCATTTATTAAGACAGTGGGAAAAAGACAAGAGAAAGAATGACAAAACAGTCTACGTAGTTTAACTGTAAAGCTGAATAATTTTTAGTTTTTACATAAAAAAAGATTGAAGTGGGTAACTGAATTTAAATGGGGTTCTCTATCACTAGATCATCTATTCATTGAATTATCACAAGGAATCCATGTGGAAGAATTGGGTCTACATTGTGTAGTTAGTTCAGGTTTAGGAAACATCTTGTGGTTTAAAAAAGTAAATTGATCATTTCATCATCAACCTTAGGACACGTAAACTATTAGGAATAGACATGGCATGTACAGGTGGTGGGAAACATTTTGATTACTTTTTACTGGAAGCATCATCTTTAGTATTTTTCTTCACTTAACCATTTTACTTGCTATAAAGGATATAGTTTCTTCATATATAAACATAAAATAATGCAGAAGAAATATAGACATCAACCTATAATAAGGTATGATGTAGCTATGAAATGATCTATGTACATACTAACTTCTGCACTAGTGGACAGACTTGAACAAGAATTACTAAATTCCATCTGCAGGGACATCATGTCAAGTGTGTATGAACAATAATAATTTCACAGTAATGGTGACAAAGGAAATATCCCAAGATTCTTTGCACAACTCAATGACAACAGACATAGTTGATTTATGACTAACTGAAGGACCGATGTCAAGAAGCTTATTAGAATTCACTAGTTCCTCTAATTCTTGGAAATATGTTCAATAGTTTCTTTAAAGGGTACATATATAATGTAGATAAGCTAACAGAAATTGATGGCAGCCATCTTCTTCATAAAAACAAAAAATATTCTAAGCTTAAAAGAAATCTCTTTTCAGCTATAAGATTGGTATCCAAATTATTAAAACTATTTAGTTCCTAGATATTCCAGGCAGTTTCTATGCCTCTAATCATCATTTTGCTAAGTAAGGTGGTCGGCTTGAGTTTATTGATAAGGACTTAGATTGGGGGTATGTAGAAGTGAATGTGCTAACCAGAGTTCTGGCATTTATAAGTTGTATGACCCTGGATAAACCATTTAGCTTTTAGTAGCCCTTTGATTCCAGATGAATAAAAAAAGGATGACTTCTATATCGTCTTAACTTGTAACATTAAGAAATTCTGAATGTTTGAAATTCAAGCCATTTTATATTTTCATACCCTGTGGTTGCCACTACAGACCTCAAGACATACAAGTAAGGATTAAAAATCAAACAAACCAAATAACCACTTGTAGCACACAGGCAGGATTAAATTATATATTAAACCTGATAAATACGGCAACTTTTCACTTTTCTGACTACCACCCAAAAAGTTGTCTCCCCCCAGAACCAGTGAAACATAGTTTGGCCCTGGCTATATATTTCCACAATCAAAGAAGTTTAAATTGAACTAAGTCCATGAAATAAAAAAAGATAGTTGTCATGGGGCTGGTAGAGTTACTTTTTCTGAATGACAAATTTAGTATCTTCCTAATTATAACTAATCTGTTGACACTAGTTATAAAACATACAGACCAGATCAGCGGAAGATATAACCTTAAAACTAAAGCTTAACTAGATTCTAGATAAAGAGGTTCATCTTAAAATTTGAAGTGAGTTAAAAATAAAAAAATATGTTGATATATAAAACATGGCTTCTGAATCACCCTATAGAAGACAAAAATCACAAGAGAATAATTTTAATCCATATAGGACCTTTTGCAGAGCAACTCAAAGTATTTTATTGAAAGTACTCAATTAAATTTCGTGACACTTCTGCAAAGAGTCAGATACTACCTATATTTTTTTTTTCAAAGGAGGCAAAATAAATGAAGGAACCAAAGTTACTTTGCTGATGTCATAGCTCCCTATTTCATATCTAGTGTTGTAGCTTGTGGAAAAAAGATGCTTAGCCCCATGATAAATGACACTAACTGAAATGCCTCAGGTTTTGAAAAATGTTTGACTTTCCACAAGATGTGAATGTACAGAATGTGTACTGTCTTGCTTAGCATTTATCCTAATCACTTAATTCAGTATCTGCCACACTGTAGGCACTCATTATACATTTGTTTAATGAATAAAGGCTATTCATAGTAGCTACAAATTACTAGATATGAGTTCATATATCAGATACTATGTGCATTACATATATTACTTCATTTAATCTGCCAACAATTCAATAAAGTAAGTTATTACTCTTCATTTTACTGATAAGGAAACTAAGACCTAGGTTAAGTAACTTGTCCAAGATTACAAAACAAGCCACAATTTTAACAAGGTAGCCTAACTTTAGTTCTTATTTAAAGATCATGATTGTGGAAAGAAAAGCACTAGGCTAGCAGTATGAAACTCTTTTCTGTATTTTACTCCATCACCACATTTTTGGAAAGGAAGGAAATTTCTTATTGATCTTTCTATCTGCTTGTAATACCTAATATAGTACCTTAGTCACATTATTATTCATTAAATGTTCCCTGAATACAATTAAAAACACAAACAAATTAGGCTTCATTGTCCTCAACTGTAAAATGAAGATGAAGTTACCAGCAAGGTCCAACTCAGTGGTTCTCAAAGAATCATGGTCCCTACACCTAAAACTTTTGTCATAAATTAAAACTCTCAGGCTGCATCCCAGACCTTCCTTATCAGAAAATGGTGTTTTATGGTCTTCCAGGTGATTCTCATGCATCCTAATGATTACCCAGTTTGAGAGTTACTGAATTACTTTATATGATGATTATTTCATAGTAAAATGAGTTCAATAATGTGAAAGCATCCTACAGAGTGAAAGACATAGCATTATTATTAAAAGATTAAATTATGCTCCCTGAAAAAAACTCAGTGATTTTGCTAAATTCACATAAAACCAAGCGTCAAAAATGAATTACATAATAAAATACTTTAAAAATAAGATACTGTTCTTCTAGATTTTATCTGGAAAATGTATAGTATTCACGGATCCAGAGGAAAAGACGAGTATGTTCCATGAAGGTCTACCTAGAAATCTAATGATTTGGTAATGAAGTGAATCATCCCAGAGATTTCACATGCTGCACAGGTTCCTTACCTGACCAGTGTCCAGTGGAGATGCCAGATCTGTCTGTGCATGTCTCACTTACAGGCCTAAACACAGTCTCCCATCCACCAGTAGCATAACGCCAATTCTGAGATTCCAAGATGAGTGTTCGCTGGGTGCCATATGCAATCATGAAGCAGTAGACCACATGATGGAGTTGACAGCCATAGCCACAGCCTTTGTTGATATTACACACCAGCTTCTTGGCTTTGCTGCAGTCCTTGGGATTCTGTCAGGGAGAAGGAGAAAGTAAAGATAAGCTATATAGAGAGAAGTCAACCTCTCACTTTCTTTTAGCTATTAGTTTCAGTGGAACATGTGCAGGTTTGTTTTATAAATTGTGTGCATGGGGGTTTAGTATACACCCCAAGTAATAAGCATAGTAACTGATGTGTGGTTTTTTGATCTTCACCCTCCTCCCACCTTTCACCCTCAAGTAGGCCCTGGTGTCTATTACTTTCTTACTTGTGTCCATATGTACTCAGTGTTTAGCTCCCACTTATATGCTGCTGCAAAGGACATGGTCTCATTCTTTTTTTATGGCTACATACTATTCCATGATATATATGTACCACATTTTCTTTTTCCAGTCTACTACTGATGGGCAACTAGGTTGATTCCATGTTGTAAATAGTGCTGTGGTGAACATATGAGTGCATGTGTCTTTATAGCAGAATGATTTATATTCCTTTGGTTATATACCCAATAATGGGATTGCTGGATCAAATAGTAGCTCTCTTTTAAGTTTTTTGACAAACTGATGAACTACTTTCCGGGGGTTGAACTAATTTACATTTCCACTGGCAATGTATAAATGCTCCCTTTTCTCTGCAGCCTCACCATCAAGCTATTTTTTGACTTTTTCATAACAGCATTCTGACTGTTATCTTATTCTGATGGCATGTCACTGTGGTTTTGATTTGCATTTCTTTAATGATACTTGTTGACTGTGTATATGTCTTTTGAAAAGAGTCTCTCAGGTCCTTTGCCTTTTTAATAAGGTTGCTTTTTGCTTGTTAATTTGTTTAAGTTCCTTACAGTTTCTGGATATTAGACCTTTCATGGCTTGCAAATATTTTCTCCCATTCTGTTGGTTGTCTATTTACTCTGTTGATACTTTCTTTCCCTGTGAAGTAGCTCTTTAATGAGATTCTAGTTGCCAATTTTTGTTTGTGTTGCAACTGCTTTTAATGTCTTCATCATGCAATCTTTTTCAGGGCCTATGTCCTATAGTATTTCCTAGGTTTTCTTCTAGGGTTTTTATGGTTTTAGGTTTTATATTTAAGTCTTTTATCCATCTTGACTTAATTTTTATATACAGGGAAAGGAAGGGGTCCAGTTTCAATCTTTTGTATATAGCTAGCCAGTTATCCCAGCACAATTTATTGACTAGGGACTCCTTCCCCCCAGGCTTGTTTTTGTCAGCTTTGTCAAAGATTAGAAAGTTGCAGGTGTATGACTTTATTTCTGGACCCTCCATTCTGTACCACTGGTCTATGTGTCTGTTTTTGTACCAGTACCATGCTGTTTGGTATGGTGGTACATGGTACTGGTTCCACGGTGTTTGGTACCCATATCATGGTTAGTGTAGCCTTGTAGTATAGTTTGAATTTGGATAATGCAATGCCTCCACCTTTGTCCTTTTTGCTTAGGATTGCTTTGGCTATTCAGGCTCTTTTCTGATTCCATATGAATTTTAAATCTGTTTTTTTCCCTAGTTCTGTGAAGAATGTCATTGGTAGTTTGATATCAGGGAATAGCACTGAATCTGTTAAATTGCTTTGGGCAATATGGCCATTTTAACGATATTGATTTTTCCTACACATGAGCCTGGAGTGCTTTTCCATTTGTTTGTGTCATCTCTGATATCTTTCAGTAGTGTTTTATCATTCTCCTTGTAGAGATTTTGCGCCTCCCTAGATAGCAGTATTCTTAGGTATTTTATTCTTTTTGTGGCAATTGTGACTAGGATTGCATTCCTGTTCGAGCTCTCACTTTGGTCATTATTGATGTATAGAAATTGATGTATGGAAATGCTACTGATTTTTGTACATTGATTTTGTAGCATGAAACTTTGCTAAAGTTGTTTTTCAGATCTAGGAGCTTTGGGGTAGGGACTATGGGATTTTCCAGGTGTAGGATCATCTTCCCCAAAAAGAGAGGTAGTTTGACTTCCTTCTTATTTGGATGTCTTTTAGCTTTTTGATATGCTGATGGATTTGGCTTGCTATTATTTTGTCAAGGATTTTTGCATCTGTGTTCATCAAGGATATTGGCCTGATGTTTTCTTTTTTTTCTTGTGTTTTGGCACGTTTTGGTATCAGAATGATGTTGCCCTCACAGAATGAGTTAGGGACGAGTCTCTCAATTTTTTGGAATAGTTCAGTAGGAATGGTCTTCTTGTATGTGTGGTAGAATTTGGCTGTCTGGTCCTGGGCCTTTTCTAGATGGCAGGCTTTTTATTACTGACTCAATTTCAGAACTTGTTATTGGTCTGTTCAGGGTATGAATTTCTTCCTGGTTCAGTCTTGGGAGGTTGCATGTTTTCAGAAATTTATCTATTTCTTGTATGTTTTCTAATTTGTATTCACAGAGGTGTTCATACTAGTCTCTGATGGTATTTTTGTATTTCTGTGGGGTTGGTGACAAGTACCAAAAATCATAAAATAATCTGTGGGGTTGGTGACGAGTACCAAAAATCATAAAATAGGCCAGGACTGATCTAGCGTGTTTCGTATTTAGGAAAGAATCCTGCTGGATTGGATTTCAATGAATCCAATGAAAACTGTATGTACATATTTAAGGAGATTACAGTGAAAAGAAAGTTACTTAGAGAAATCTCTAAACAAATGTGAAATTGGGCAGTTACATTTTAAAAAATCTTTTACTTTTTCCTTTTTTAAAAATTTTAAGTTCAAGGGTACATGTGTAGGTTTATATACAGGTAAATCTGTGGGTTTGTTTTTCAGATTGTCACCCAGGTGTTAAGTCTAGTACTCATTAGTTATTTTTCCTGATCCTCTCCCTCCACCCACTCTGCACCCTCTGATAGGCCCCCAGTGTCTGTTGTTCCCCTCTATGTGTCCAAGTGTTCTCATCATTTTGCTCCCATGTACAAGTGACAAAATGTGTTATTTGGTTTTCTGTTTCTGTGTTAGTTTGCTAATGGCCTCCAGCTCCATCAATGTCCCTGCAAAGGACACGATCTCATTCTTTTTTATGGTTGCATAGTATTTCATGGCATTTATGTACCACATTTTCTTTGTCCAGTCTACCACTGATGGGCATTTAGGTTGATTCCATGTCTTCGCTCCTGTGAATAGTGCTTCAGTGAACATATGCGTGCATCTTTATGGTAGTTCCTTTGCGTATATATCCAATAATGGGATTGCTGGGTCAAATGGTAGTTCTGTTTTTAATTCAAGTAATTTCCACACTGCTTTCTACAATGGCTGAACTAATAATTTATACTCCCACCAGCAGTGTATAAGTTTTTTCTTTCATTTCTTTATTACTGAGTCTTTTACTTCTTTCACTTCATCACTCAGAATATGCAAATGCAATCATCTCTGAATTCAAAGTTACATACATCAATATCTTTAGGAAAAAAGTAAAACAGTTCATTTATTCCAGGAGCATTTCAGCATTCTGAGCTTATCTTCTATGATGAAACTCAAATTATCTTAAAAGAAAAACTTTAATTTTTCTATTAATTCCATCTATCTCCACAATTTTATATATTACAACAAAATCTACTTTCTCATTACGAAGTTAAAGCCACCAAGTAAACAGATACCTGAATTCTGTAATTACAAAATATCAGGCATGGAACATTTTTTAAAAATTGTACTTCATGATAGCTATCAGTCATTTTCACCACTGAATGTAGAACATGCTCTACACTGGCTCACTTGAGAAGTATTATGCCACTTTTTAATTGGGAGATCCAGACAGCAAATGTTTAGCTAACATGAGAATTTCTTTTTTTTTCCATTCTAAAGTTCAACTCTGCTTTAATTTGGACAAGATATTGCTAAATTATTCCTAAGGCATCTTAGTTCTTCATATAACAAAATTAGTCTGAGAAGTTTTCCTTGCTGTTTTGTCTACAAGAAAGAGGATGGGTGACTCTATGAACAATCTTTTATCCTACATATAAAGAGGCAATATAAACCAGTTCTCAATTTATGAGCCTTAAATAATGCAGTCACCAAACACTATATCTAAATCTATTTTCCAGGGATATCATCTGTCCTGTCAAGCAGAGAGCCCTAGAAACAAAAGCTGCAGTCTATAAAATGATTCCAAAGGAAAAACTGAGAAAGGTAAATACAAGTTACCTCCAGAATAGGTACCTTTCATATTCAAATACGTCACAGCAAGCTGGTCTTTTTTTTTTTTAGAACAAAGCAGAATGCATACCATCAAGAACCTTAGGAAGAGTTAAGAGCCTTTAGAATCAAGAGAATCCTGATAAAATTCAGCAAGATTTGGTCAATATTGCTTCTACAATCAAGTAGCAGAGTTACTGATTCTTTGAGACTATCAACTCATGGCACACTCCTAAAGCAGTAAGTATTCTCACATTTGTTGCTATAGCCACAAAATATCTGAGAGAAACCGAGGAGTGTGGTATTGTGGGAATGGGAGATCTTCGTCATTTAATTTCTGCACAATATTAAATAAGAACCTTGGAAATAAATAATATTCTCAAACTGATCCAAAGCTTTATTACTGACTCAGTTTATCAAAAGAATGGACAAATAACATAGACATTTTTCAGATTTTCATGAGAAATAGAGCACTTGAATATCACTAAAATTCATATGAATGAAAAAGAAAATGTTCTTCATATGTTCTTCAATAAACCTTTTCTTTTAGAACAGTTTTTAGATGTACTGAGTTACTGCAAAGACATTACAGAGAATTCCCATATATCTCACACCCAGTTTCCCCTGCTATTACATCTTACCTTAGTCTTTTTTTTTTTTTTAGGAAAAAAAGAGTGAAGAAACATTATAATTTAAACATCTGAACTTTAGTTTGGAAACTACGGATTTGCTATTTAAAAGAAGACTCTCATCTGCATGTAAGAAAGTTTATTCACTGTGTTAACAGTTTGATTAGAACCTAGTGCTTTGAGCACAAGAGCTGAGACCTAAAAGGGCAATCTGTAAAAGTGGCTTAAATCATGATGCTTAGTGTACCTCACATAAAGCTAAAGATAGA